AAGACATATGCACCCCTATGTTTATCACAACACTATTTACAATAGCCAAGATATGGAAGCAACCTAAGTGTCCATCAGTAGATGAATGGATAAAGATGTGGTATATATACACAATGGGATATTATTCAGCCATAAGAAGAAAATAAATCCTACCACTTACAACAACATGGATAGAGCTAGAGGGTATTATGCTCAGTGAAATAAGCCAGGCAGAGAAAAATAAGTACCAAATGATTTCACTCATTTGTGGAGTAAAACAACAAAGCAAAACTGAATAAACAAAGCAGCAGCAGACTCACAGAACCCAAGAATAGAATAGCAGTTACCAAAGGGAAAGGGGGAGGGACGGTGGGCAGGAATGGAGGGAGAAGGAGATTTAGGGGTATTATGATTAGCACACATAATATAGGGAGGCACCAGGAAGGAAGTATAGCACAGAGAAGACAAGCAGTGACTCTATAGCATCTTTCTACACTGATGGACAGTGACTGTAATGGGATGTGTGGTGGGGACTTGATAAAGGGGGAATCCAGTAACCACAATGTTGCTCATGTGAAACCTTCATAAGATTGCATATCAATGGTACCTTAATTTTTAAAAAAAAGTTTCTTTGTAAAACAAGGCTACACGTCAAGTTCTGGCCACTGTTTCCCAAGTCAGAGAAAATGCTCTAGAAGTTGGAAAGGAGACCCAACAGCCATTTTCAGGAGAACTGAAGCTTACTTCCAACCATCAGGACCTGGGCATACAGTTGCAGACTTGGCACCCAGAAGAAAACGCCCTTGTTGGGAATGAAACAAAGAGCTATGATGCTTGAAACTTCTCATAGACACAGAAGCCAGGGCCTTACAGCTGAAGTGTTTCCACAGAGCCTCATACAAACTTCTAGTGGCAGATGAGTTTAAGTTCATTAAGCTGTTTTCTCTACCTGTTGCATGTCTCTCAAGTCTTGCCTTGAAATTGTTAGGAGAATCCCCAGGAGACTAGAGAACATCAGCAGCCCATGTCCTTATGACTGTGTCTTCTCCTCAGTGCTGTAGCTCCCACCCAGCTCTCTTCAGATAGAAGCCACACACCCCCAGCACCTTGGGGCAGCTTGGGGCCTCTGAAGGAACCAGTGGCCAGAGAAGTGAGGAGACTGGCTCAAGGCGGAACCATGGCTACCAATGGGCTCCCTAATTCTAGATTCAGTGCCAGGTGCATGTTAGTAATGGGATGGGATCCACTCAGGATCCACTGGCCTGTGGAGGACAGCACAGGAAACCCTCCAGATCTTCGGCCTCAGTCTCCTGGTGTGTCTGCACAGCCATTTGCAACAGGATAACGCAGTCCAGACTCAGGTGTGAAAAAGCAGCACATTGCTGTTTTCTTTCAGTCCTTCTTCTGAGTGCTTTACTATTGAGCTCTTGTTCAGTCTCAGGTATTAGGGCTTCCTTCTCCTGACTCCCACATGGCTGGGCCAAATTCTTGGGGTTTCATACACCGAAGCTTTCCCAGTGGTTTTCCACATTGGTTATCACCAAAGCATGAGCATCTTTGGTGACACTGGAAACCCACGTGCCTGGACTCTAGCCTCCCTGAGCTGCCAGCCCTGGTCCTGCAGGCCCCCTAGAGCAGCGCCACAACACCCTGCTCCTGGCCCCTGCGACACCTCCCCTCCCCAGCTCTCCTCTCTGCCCATACCTCTGGGATCCACGGCAGCATCTTTTCAAGAAGCTTGTTGTGTTAAGAAAAATAGAAGAAGAGGCACTGACTTCAAGCAGCTTCTGCTTTTTGGTCCTGATAAAAGCCCTCAGGCAGAAAATACCAGTGGGTCTTGCTACCTAATTAGAATTCAAGAGAAGGAAAAAAAATAACCAGCCAACAAAACTCAAGTATCTCAAAACATTACTCTGCCTCCCCATCATAGATCATGCCGCCTCTGGCTCCCTGGTGCTATCATATTAAGATTTTTTTTTTTAAGTAATGAGAAAGAGCTTTAGTGAGACACCCAAGACAATTAAACTTAAAGTATGCCTCCTTTATGCATGCATGCACGCACACACAATTTTGGAAAAATATATTTATGTTTCTATATGTATAAAATTTTTGAAGATTTCAGGGATCTTGAGAACTATTTCCCAAAGTAAAAGTAACTACATTCAAAATACCGTCCATCAGAATAAAGTCCATGCTGTTACTTTAAGTCTCACTCAGAGGTAGCTATTGCACTGGTCGGGAATATATATCCCAGTTGCTGTTAGCTGAACACTGCACCAAGGAAGTCTATATTCCAGTGTAGCTATGACAAGCTGTTCGGCTGTCCCTTTCTCATCAATATCAGACATGTTGCTGATCCAGTGGATGTTCAAATTGGGCTCTCACTAGTGAAAGTAATGGTATCCAGTTTCTGTGAGGTGGCTAAACTATTTTTAGAGATATTCTCAACTCTTAAAATGAATAGGGTTTAAGAATCTGAAACTGTGTTGTCCAATATGATAGGCACTAGACATGTGTAGCCATTGTGCAATTGAAATGTAGCTAGTTATGGTAATGTTAAAATATTTTGAATACACTGGGTTATATAAAATATATTATTCAAATAATGTTTGTTTTCAAAATACAGCTCATATCTCTCCATTGGACAGCACTGGTCTAAAAAACCCTTTAATTGTGGGGGTGGTACCGTGGGTTTGATCCCTAAATGGTCTTGGATCCTACCAGTGGTTCAGTGAATTTAGGCTCCCAGTGGAACCCTCTGACATAGCTGAATCCTGATGCTGGTTCAGTGATTCATTTAATTCAGGCATCATGTACCGCTGCAGGTACTGGGACAGACACAACTAAGGTCAAAATAATCGAATTACCCACTTTTGACAGCTGCCAGAAGAGGTGGCTTTTGTGTCAATTTACTAAAAAGTGACCATATGACAAAATCTGACCGGAAAACTTGCTTTCAGAATAACTTGGTAGCCCCTTATACCAGGGTCTCTGGCGCTGGACCCAGAGCTTTAAAGGACACTTGTCTGGATATTTCCTGAAACATCCTCCCACAAGGCAGCTGTATATGCCAGAACCCTGTAACCTGCCGGGGTTCAACACAGTGCTGCTGCAAGCTGATGAGACTTGTGATGTAATGTTGGGGCCACAAGATGTACGTCAGTGACCAAAATATCAGAGGCCCCCAGCCTGGTGCAGACCACTGCCCTAGTGACTGACAGGCATGACTGCAGGGCTGTAAAGGGGCCGTGTCTTTTGCACTAAGCCCATCTAGTCTCAGTGGGTTAGGACTGGAAGGCCATCCATCAGTCTCCTCCATTATACTAGAATAAAGGTGCAGCAATTGCAGGGGATTGTATTTACATTACATATATAAGCTAGGAGATTTAGTGATATAAAATCACATTTATAATATACACATATATTCTGTATCCTGTGGAAGAGTCTTACAGCCAGTGAATTGTGTCTCCTGGTATGCAGGCCCCTCCTGGTCCTTCCCACCTTAACCCTGGCTGTGGCCACATGACTGGGTCAGTGGAACATCAGCAAATGTGATGTAAGCCGAGGCCAGCTAAGTGTTTGCAAGCTGCACCTTGCTCTCTTGCAACCCCAAGGCCACCACAGTGTGAAGCAGCCCAGGTTTTTGGGGAGAAAGGCAGAGATGCCTACCCCAGTCAGCGCCTACCTCACAGCTGAATTACCCACATGAGCGAGCCCAGGCAGGAGCAGGAGAACGGCCCAGAACTGTGCAAAATAGCACATGTGTAAATGTTATTGGTTAAATGGGTAAAGCTACAAGGTGTGGGGGTAGTTTGTTAGGCAGCAACAGAAATCTGGTACAAGGCTCCCCCATAGGTAAAGAGATGTGCCCTGGACTCAAAGGCCTTTGTGTATTCCACCAGCCTAGCAGAGGATGAAGTGACTGTTAAGCATTTACTGATTAACAAAAATGTTGCATATGAAAATCTAGTTTTTAATTTGAGGTTGATAATCCACTTTATATAGATTTTCCTCTGCTAATACTAAAAATGTGATTTTAATTGCAAAGCACTGGCTTTGCAGACTAGCTGTCATGACTATTGAATGAAGTAGCCATGAGCTAAGTCTACAGCCTATATGAACTGCTACACTGCTATGCAAAGTTTGTCAAAGCATAATTTTTAAAATTTGGTTATAGGAAACAAAAAGCCTAGCTTCCTAAAAATCATTCAATCAATCATTTTGTCATAAAGGGAATATCTACATTCTTATTAGGAAAACAAGGCTTCCATGTACCAAACTGTAAGAAACTGTAAGAGTATATGAATAAATGCAAAATTAATGAGCACAGACAAGAAGTACTCTGGACTTAGAAAGAAGGGGGACTGATCTGGAATGGAATCTTCAAGAAGAGTCTTAGAGAAAAGAAGCTTCCAGTTAAATATGGCAAACTGGACACATTCATTCCCTCCTATACTGCCTAAAATTACAGTAGAGGGAAATTTTGTAAAGGCATAAAATATGAAGAATATGAGAGACAACAGCAGCAAAATTTTGTACAAATAGTTCCCAGCGTAGCAGACTAGAGAAAGTTGAAATGCAAGCTGGATATTGGAGGAACCCAGCAGCAAGCCAATCCAGTTTGTACAACCACTGCCCTCAAAACATACTCAAGGAATTGGAGGCACCAAGTGGCTCTGAAAACAGGGTGTAGGGGGTAGAGTTAGAAGCAGGAATGCTTTTCACAGGTTGGGTGTTAATATGAGCAGCAGCCTGACCCCCTCCTCAGTACTAACCACATGCAACATCCCCCCCTACACCCTGCAGGGAATGAAGCCCTGGACTCACACCACACACAGCCCAGGTCATTCTGACAATGGCCATATTACGTGGAAATCTTCATACCAAATCAGAGACATCAAGCTCCTTTTTCCTTGCCTCTGAGACCACTAGCAGCCAAATGTGTATTTTTAAAGGCTAAAGATTAATGGTACCCTCTGGGAAAAATGACCACTTAACAGAAAAGACTTAAGGATACTTACAGTTGAAGAGCACAGTTTTCTGATCAGATCTGATGGAGCTCACTCTTAAATAGGAAGGAATAGCCTACAAATCGCCAGATTATTTCAGGGTCTCTTCGAATGTAAAAGAAAGACAGTGAGTCAATTAAACAGACACTTGGGAGAACAAGAGAGAGCTCGGGGAAAAAAAAGAACAAAACCTAAACTAGTATGGCTAATATCCTCAGAAAACCTTAGAAAAGATTTTACATCTATTATACTATAAAAAGATGCTGCAAAAAAATAAAGAACACTCAGAGAAAATTAAGTGATAGGAGAAATTTCTAAGTCCAATAGAAGTTTTGGACCTCAGAGCTTACAATCCAGTGGGAGAAATGTAGCCCAGCTTGAAATGATGCCTGTGAAGAAGCGCAGAAATGTCTGTTGTTTTCAGCTTTAAAAAATAAAGTGGATTTCAGAAGGCAGGGCTTCTGAAAAAGAAAGCAACTCTGGAGAGAAAGAACAGCCCAAAAGAAGGAATGGCTCAGCAATGCAGTGGCAAGTGGCCAGATCCCAAGTATTGCAGTCTGGCTGGAGGAGTACTGAGCTGGGAGGTAACATTAGAGAGGCGAGTAGAGCCAGATTCCAGTTTGAGCAGTATGCCAACTCAGGGCCTTGCAGCCAACATCTCATCTGTGGCTCCTGTGGATGCTGATATCTAAGAGTCACATACTTACCAAAAACTTGATCACCATGCCTCTGAAATTAGACTATTGAAGACACGGGACCTCACCTTCCACCACCCTTACATGTTTTGTGGTCTCCCTGTCCCCAAACTCAAGAACTAATTGCAAGACTATCGAACTTCTAGCAAGAAGAATGCGTAGCCCTAATAAGTCTTCTTTACTGGTCAGGGAAGGAGTAGGACCCTGAGGACTTGGAATGGGGATATCTGGGTAGACATACTTGACAGCATTGGATCCCCAAATTTCCATGAATCCTTGGGGCCTGGAAAACCTGCTCATCTTCCCTGTTAGCAGCCACCCTTTGTTTGAAGACAATGCAGCACCTTCAGTGGAGGCAGGTTCTTTATAGCACAATGGTTGCCCTCCCCAGGATCTGCTCCCACATCTCATCTTGGACCAAGAATCAGGGTCAAATCTCAGCACAACCCAGCTGGAGAAGTTCAGGCCAGCTAAGGCACAGGAGCTCGCAGGGTAGACCAGCAGGACAGATGAGAATTTGCCTGGACATGGATCTTGAAGACTCTGTGTACAATGTAAAGCAGGGGAATACAATATAAAGCTGGATAAGGTTTTTCATCAACATGGAGGTATTCTTCTATGGCACAGATTTAATACCCCAAGAAAGTCCCAAGGGCTTTTCCTAATCCCCGGTTGGAATGGCTCTTAGAAGCCTGGGAAATATAATGGCCCACCTTAAATGAAGAGATACCAGAACTACAGTGGCAAGACTGTGGAAGAAGGCTTAAAAGGCTCAGAGAAATGGGTATGCTAGAATGATTTCATTATAAATATCAGAAAGCCCACTATATTCCTTAGGAGAGCCCAGAAGTCCTTCTGGTTAACAAGACGACATGAAATGTGCTGGTGAGGGAGTGTCACTGGTATCCTTAAGCTGAGCAGTTGCTGTCCTCTGCAGGTAGAGGATGCTGTTTCAATACTGGCTCCCTTACAACCTACCAGGATCACAGAACTCCACAGAGCAGAAGCCAAAGGGCAGCACTTACTTGCCAGGAGCTCAGTGGTCATGGACAGCAAAGCCAAACGGTAGCCAGTGGTGGCTGATGGATACTGAGCTATATAACACAGTGTTCACAGAGGCAACATACATAAATATCCAAAGGAGTATTGCTTAATAGTATTAAAAGAGACCAAGAATATACGTGCAGAAAGTTGAAATCAGCTGCCTCCATAAAGTCATGATCTTCTGCCCAATGTCCAGACCCAGGTCAGTTCTCAGACCCCAAATCCAGTGATTGAAAGAGAGGACAAATTGGGGACAATTTGGATATCCAAATAATAATAGTAAGGGATTGTAACATATTAAAGTAAAAACCAGTGGGGGCTACAATGACATAAACAAATAAGGGAGAAGGGAAGGCTCTTTCTTTCAGCAGCAAGCCAACTAACAAATGTAGAAGGAATAACGAAATCAGAAACCACCACTTACCAAGCACCTTGATTCAGGTGAGAATCACCAATGACTGCTAAAATAGCACATGGAAGTTTGGCAAGAAATAGGAGATAATATTCACAAGTATCACCCCCACAAGACATGTTAGTCACAGAGCACAAAACAGTACTCACAGTAACCTGGCAGGGACCACTTCAGCCTGAATATCAAACTTACCACCACCTGTAATGTGACTAATTTACAGCACGTGTCTCACACTATGATGCACTGGAAAGGATACACCACCCCTTTAGTAGCAGTTCTGTCTAAAATGCCTGACTTGAATCTGATCACAAGGCAAACAAATCCAAATTGAGGGACACTATAGAATAGCTAGTCTGCACTCGTCAAAAATGTCAACTTCATGAGATACAAAGACAGACTTAGGAACTGTTGTAGATTAAAGAAAACAATAAAGATATGACAATGACAGGACTACAGTGCATGACTTTGGAAATTCTTTTACCATAAAGAATGTTATTGGAACAATTGGTAAAATCTTAATGTCTATAATTTAGATAATAGTATATCAATGTTAATTTTCTGATTTTGATCATTGTACTATGGCTATTTATGAGAATTACTTGTTTTTAGAAAATACACACTGAAGTGTTTAGAAATAAAGGGGAAGCTACAAGTTAGTCTTAAGCAGTTCAGGAAAAAAGGTGTGTGTACTGTCTTGACAATGGGTTTCAGCCCCAGGCAAGTTCACTATGGAGTCAATGTGACCAAAGAAAATGGCAGTAAAATGTTCTTGAGGTGAAAGGGTTATACCCAACTTTATTCCCAGGTGGCAGGTCAGTCACTAAAATCCCATTCACTCAGAGCAAGTCTGCATGCAGCAAGGCCTCTGGGCCTCTCTGCCCGCACAGTTATGTCCCGCACAGCCGTTCTCTGGGCCTCTGTCCTCAACGCTGCCACACTCTGCTCTGCTCTCCTGCAGCTGTGCCACCGTGTCTCCCAGACCACTGGGCAGAGCTCTCTATATAGAGTCAATAGCAACATATTGCCCACATATGTGTAGTGAGCTAGTCAACCAGGGCCAGGTAAGAATCCTGGCCACAGGAACTTCATTTTATCCACAGTGTACACACACACACATACACACACACACACACACACACACACACACACACACACACACATACATACATCTACCTACCTACATAGAAGAGAATATAGAAAATGTAGCACATTTTGGGAATCTCTGTAAAAGATACCCAAGAATTTTTTGCATTATTCTTGCAACTTTTCTTTCAATTTTAAATAAGATAAAAATTAAATATAAAGAGAGGAAAGGAAGCTTCAATACCACAACAAATGTATAAGGTAGTGATTCTCAGAGTCCTTCCTGAAAGAGACCTGTGGTCTTTACTGGGATAAACCATAATATTAGGGGAAGTAGAGGACCCAGATCTTTGAAGGGCTGCTCTTGCATGGTCCAGGGTGACAATGGCCCAGAAAACCAAAGCACCATCTGGTCTCCTGTTAGAGGAGAGGTATTTGGGATCAGGTCATAAGTAGATTTCAGGCCAATCCTACCTATTTCACAGTGGGTCTACTAGGTCCATGGAGCTACCCTACTGGTCATTCCCCCAGTTCCTAAAGGTATAAATGGGATGGACATACGTACTAATTTCTAAAATGCTCACATTGGACTTATGTTTCTTAAACAGTAGAGTAAAATAATTGTAGTAAAATGGGAAAGACCAAATGGGAGTCCCTGAAACTAACCCTGCCTTTAGTCAAAATAATAAATTAAAAACCAATATTACTTCCCAGGGAAAATTACAAAGATTAGAGCTACTTGCAGACTTAAATAATGTAGAGGAGATGGTTCATATTCCCATTCAGAATCTCATTTAATTTATCTGTATGGCCCTACAAACACCTGATGAATCGTGGAGAGCAGTGGACTACCAAAAACAGAATCAAGTGGTAACCTCAGTTTTGGTTATTGTGCCAGATATGGTTATCTTTACTAGAGAAGATTAACAAAGGCTATAGAATGTGATATGCAGCTGTTGATCTGGCTAATTCATTCTTTCCCATGCCTATCAAAGGGAAGATCAGAAGCAGGTTGCATTCCCATGTAATGTACAACAATGCACATTTATGATCTTGTTTCAGATTACTAATTTTCCTGCTGTCACATGATAGTCCCAAAGCAGCCTAGAACATCTGGGCCTTCTGCAGAACACACACTTATCTATTATACTGAGGACATCATGTTAATCAGATCTCATGAACTAGAATATCTTACAAAGAGATCACTGATGGCCTTTATAAGATGTATGGGCTCCACAGAGTGGGAAATGAACCCTACAAAGATCCGACCCTCCAAAGTTGTTGGGTCCAAAGCTCTGGAACATTCCAGGAATATGCTCCCAAAGTAAAGGACAATTTATTATACTTTATGCCTCCTACCACTAAAGAAAAAAATAATGCTTCATAGGCTGCTTTGGATTTTGTGGGCAGTATCATTCATACTTGGGAATACTGCTCTGACTCCTTTATCAAATGATTTTGAAGGCTTTCAGTTTTGAATGTGGCCCAGAATAAAGAAGAAATGAGTAGCAGGTTCAGACTAAGTACAAACAACCCTGCAGTTGGGCCGTACTATTTGGCAGATTCATGGTAGTAGAGGGGGTCTTGTGCAGTCTCAGGGATGCCCCAAGAGGAGAGTCACAGCACAGAATCATTAGGGTTCTGTGTGTACAATGTGTAGAGGGAATTATATACCATTTGAGAAATAACTCCTGGCATGCTAGAAATGAGGAATGATGGGATATGAAGTGATCATGGACCATAAATGCCCATAGTGACCTACATAGGCTCAGAAGCAATCCACCCTCTTATTAAAGGATCAGGCTTGAGCAGGTCCAGAGATCACAAATAAGCTAAAAGAACAGGTGGCCCAAATTGCCATGACACCTACACTGATGCCTGTCACTGGGCTCACACCTGTGACCTTAGGAGGGAGTTTCTATGGTCAGCTGACAAAAGAAAAACATGAGCTTGATCCTTGGGCTCAGACTGCTCAGGGATAAGACTTTGGTCATCCTATCAGACAAACTACCTAGACCAGCAGAAATAATAGCTGAGGGTGAGAAGAATCTAGAACGAATGGTAGAGGGAAATGAATACAAGTTGTGCCTTTAGGACCAGCTACATCAGTGGCACTATATTATTCCCACTAACTCTCCTCTTGCGTATCTTTCTAGAAACAGACCAACCAGAATACTGGAGAATCTATGGTTTAATGAAATGAACTCAGTGTGAGAAGCCAGTGAATCTGAATTGGGAGGTTGATGCTGTTAGTGTC